AAAACAATAATTGAACCATGTAAAATTGAATAAAAAATTAAAACTTTGAAATATTTACAGTACCTTCCTTTAATGTATTTCTCGAAGTCTTGAATCACTTGGGTATTTCATGAAGAACAACGGCATCCAAGTCTGCACCTCTAACGTAATTCAAAATATCTGTTGCGCGAACTTTAAACAAAAGATATTTAAAGGTTCAAGTTTGTCTTCGATACGATCTGTATTGTCTGCAGTGGATGCATATTTAAACTATTTTTGTGGTGTAGTCACAAGATTTTAAAAATTATTTTAAAGATAGTCCGTTTCACAGGATAAGTTCATATAAGAATAGAATTATTCCTGACTACGTTAGTACAGACAATATCGTGACACGTGGGATAATTTATGCATAAAGGGCAGAAATACTGTGTAACAAAATATTTTAAAAAGTAATGTCAGATATGGAACCTTCGGAAAAGTTGAAATCACAAAATTAACCAAAACCAATAACATCAAGTCTTACTGTTTTTCAACTATATACAACTTTTCCTCAAGACAAATGAAACTCCATGCTTTTGACTTCATTGACAAAATAATGGAACTCTAAGAAATACCTTACCTGTCTTTGGTTATTAACAAAATTATTGTGAAAAAGACACTTAAGTACTCTGATGACTGATTTTCCTCCAATAGATTGTTGGAAGACCTGATCTCCAAAGACCACGTACTCGTAGATATTGTCCATCAGGGACTCAAGCATCATTTTGATGTTAACATCAGTGTACCTGTATGTACATTCAGAATGTGTTTTAACAAAACATATTTGCAAATGACCAATAGCCAGATAAGTAAATTTACGAGTTCCATTTTTATTGAAAAAGCTGCTCTCAATGATATCAAAAAGCCTGGACTGTGTACAAAATTGAAAAGTTTTTGAACTGTTGATTTTTGAGAAATTTTGTGATTTCAAATTACCAAATGTTCCTTGGAAATTTTAAGTATCCACATCTGATTAACAGAATATATTGTTGCACCGTACTCTTCCAAAGTTTTACCATTATTACTGTTGATATCTTAGTGAGAAGTAAAAAAAGAAGCTTGGTTGAACATGTTTCGGCATATGAATTCGGAAATCCTTGTTTTAACTGCCATAACATGTGTATATGTAAAACAAAAGACGATTTTTGCAAAGTAAAATGTTATACTGATCTTTTGTTTATCACTTGAAAGCTCACTAATGGAGAGTTTGCCAGTTGGAATAACTATTAGATAAGATACAATCTGTTATATTGTGATATAACCAAGTGCTCTTTTATATTGGAAGTAGTTTAAAAGCGTATCCAAAATAGCATGTTATTATTGAATCTCCAGCTAAATATTGATTAAAAGACGCTGTTGTTTTACATTGAAAATTTGAAATCAATAAGAATAATTGACGATATAGCAGAATTTGCTTGCATTAATACCTCAGGTTTTTAAACCATAATTAAAACTCTAAAGACATTTAGCTTAGGGTGTCTCGTATTTTAACATTGAAAATTTTAACATTTAAAATTGCCGACCATAAAATGGCACTCACATACGTGACTGTGAATTATGAAGTTAAGAATATGGAAAAAACGAACAGTATTCAATATCGAAGTCCATAAAGCAATACAAAATAGGAGCAGAAAAAACACGGACCTCCGAAACATCAGGTGGGATCACGGAACCATGAGCATGCCCTGCCAACCGGTCACACCCGCCGTATGCTCCTTGTCATGATCGGGAAATAACGAAAAAAAATCGTCGTCAATTCAGTGTATAAATAATGGACTAACAATTAGAACGTCAGACAGCATTTGACTGAATGATTAATTGTATTTGTTGACAAGGTCATTGTATCGACAATTTAGCTAAATTTCTATATTTTCACATTAATCAAAAACCGACTTTAAAGTATGCCTAACAAAAAAAGTCCTGCTTTTGTCAGTAATATCAAATGGCCGTTAAATGGTTAACATTTTATCAAACCGTCGTCATTACTTTTGACAAGTTCCTCGAATACGAGGGCTTCCCCAAAATTCCGTAGACATGCGTTGTTTTGTAGAGACCCAATGTCATATATAATTGAAACTTTTTACATAGATGAAACCAACACCAACTTATATATTTGGGGATAAATATAGAGGAACCACACAAATTAACCCTATTTAAATGATGAATTTCAATGTCTAGCGTAGGAAAGTGGCGCGATATTCAAAACTCGCAATTAAAAATCGGTACATCATATATAAATTCTACGGAAAAGCAATTAATATTTACTTTTTTTCTTTGTATTTTTCATATAGAAATAAAAAAATTCTTAATAATACATTAACTATGTTTCGTTAAACTGTGATGTTTGTGTTTTAATTAATATGAAATTTGAAACATTTTATGTACCCCGGGTTGAAACATTTTAATGTACCCCGGGTTGAAATCCGACTTTTTGAAATACGGCGGCTGCATTTGCAGGGGCTGTGCACTTGACGGTGATCAAGAGTTTTAATCCTGAATTCACTACTACGGAAATGTACAAAATGTTTGGTAGACAAGGAAATGTTTCTGGTCCTCAGTATTAAACACGTCTGATATGATTTCCATATAATTATATGAAAAACAAAAGGTAAAATAAAAGACAGGCCTAAGAATTGGGCTGAGTGCCACCGTGCAATTCCATTAGAGAAGACAAAGAAAAGTCCGTAGAGATACAGGGTTTTTAAATTATTAATATTTGATTTGTTTAGGTATTGATTTGCATATACTTTGTCTACATATTTAAATGTTTAATCATATCATAGTTATTAAGGTATTTTACAATTATATCTATAATCGTTTTGATTAATTGAAGAATTGATTCTCTTATTATTGGAATGTCTTCTCCAAGCATCCATCAGTTGGCTTTTGTCTTTTTTGACGTTGCAGATTGCTCCGGGTATAAGAGAACTTCATCACTTCAAATCTAATAACTCGAATTGAGTTCAAGAAAACATGATCAAACTTCATAATTTTAATGCTTATACAAGAACACGCTTTATCCACCCAGAAAATTTTAATAAAGATACATTAATTTCTTAAGTAGATATGACAGTCTACGAATTTTTGGGACAACCCTCGTAATATTAAACATTTTATTAGTATATGAAATGCCATCGTTTGTAAAAGCAAAACTGTTCCACAAGTTTTGACACAAACACAATTTTTAACAGAAATAAGTATAATATATAACTTCTTTGCAGCAATTCAAAAAATTCTTTTTTCTCTTCTATGTCTCTCCTACTTCTGAGTTTCCCAATTCATTTGCTTTTGTCCTCTCGTGATTTCTACTTCATTCAATCTTCTTAGTGTATTATTTGTCATTAATAAAGCAAGTACTACATGTAGGAACAGGGAGCATATTAATACAGCAGCCTGAAAATAAAATGAAAATACAGATTCACAAATTGACATGGGTTTAAGGTAAGATAGACATGATATAAGCATTGAACATTTTTAATTTTTGGTAGTATTTTAATGTACTTTATGTACTTTAATTTGATGACAGTTTTATCTTTCTCGTCCGGAAGGCCAGTGACTTTTACTTCGCATGTCCGGCGCTTGGCAAAGGAAGTCACCACCTATATTTAAGTGTTAGGTATGGTTCAACAAGACATACTAGATCAAATGGACCTCCCTTTCGGTTCATCTCATGTAGAAATATTTTTGAAAATAAATTCTATTTCTTATTTATTCAAAAAAATCCGCTTATCATGAAGTGCAATTGTACCCATGAGGTTACAACAGATTGTTAGAAGGCAATTATTTTAAAAAACGCACATGGATAGCCTACCTTAACCCTTTCTCTTCCGGCGCATTTCACCTGATTTTGGAGGCCTTTTGATACGGCATTATTAAATTATTTCTAACTTTTTTATCCAAGGGAAAAGCTAGGCATAATGCATACCATTTTGTAGGAAATTTCTTACAGATGATATTTTATGACTGTTTAGATACTCAACCACTGACCTTATTAGTATAAATTGAGGTCAAAGGTCAATTAAGTGCAAAATTTTATGGAATTTTTTGATACTTTTTCATCTTTAAGCTAAATATTAAGTATGATGTATGTTGAAATAGGAAATTTGGGATATACCCACAAAAGAGCATTATACTGTACTACATGAAACACATAAACTTTTTTTTCAATTCTGCATATAACTACTTAAAAGGGGTTGCTAAGCAGCGCAGAATTCTTTAATTTTCGGGCAGAAATTTTCATTTTTTACTCATCCTAGACACATTTATGCATCCCAGCACATATAAAAGTTAGATGTGAGGTCATAAAATTATAAGGGACATACAACAGATAAATTGTCTTAAAGTTTGACCTCATTAGAACTTTTTTTAGGAGGTCAAAGGTCAAATAAGTGCAAAAGTTTCATCAATTTTTTTCAACACTTTTCAATATTCTAGCCATAATTTTACACAATGGATGCTGAAATGGAAAATTCTGAATATACTCTCAAGAAGGGATCAGAACTGCAATATCCATGCATCATTTTATTTCAAATATCTGTTTAATGACCTTTAAGTGGTTGCTAAGCAACATCATTTTAAAGTTTTTGGCTATATACATCATTGTTTGTTATTTCATATTCTGGACAAATTCTAGACACTTTTTGTATATTTCATGATATTGTTTGTAAGATATGGGCCATAAAGATGAAAGAACATTTTTGTATTAAAAATTGACCTTGACACTCTTGTTCTTCAGAAGGTCAAGGTCATATCAGTACAGAATTCTGCTTTAAACTGTAAGTAAATATCAATTTTGAAATGCTTCAAACATGGATAAATCATCTAATAGTAGACGTAATAAAAATGGCGAATGACAAAGTTTGCAAGCAGGAATTCTGGTCTGCTTCTTATAAAGCCCTAGCAAAACATGTATACTATCTTTTTGTTAAACAAGAAATCCATTCTCTTGATGACATTAAAAATAATCTTTATTTTCATGGATTTAATTTAACAAGAAAAAAAAAATAAATGATTTCATTACAAGATTTTTCTGGTATAACAGAGCTTAAGGGGTACAATAAAGACTTGACATGTTATCTTGGAGGGAAATAATAATAATAGATAGCATTGGCAATATCAAATGCAAAACTGTTTAGTCAATAAGTTGAAAATTTGTCGCTTATATCCAAATATACAAATACAGAAATATTGCAAGATGAATTCCAAATCAGACTGAAATCTTCAACAAAATGTTGAAGAGCACTTTTACTTTGTGTCCACCATTCTTTTATCAACTGTCATTTCTCTGTAAGACCGGAGGAAATTCTTTGACTTGTCCAAGACATTATTATTTGCTGTCAAGTACAAGTGATCAGCTTCTATCCTGTAAAAGATTTTAGTATTTTGAAACAGATACATGTCATTGTGTATATAAATTTATATTTATAAATAAAATTAAGAATGCTAAAATTACTACATTTATTTGATTTTCCTTTTAAAATTAAAATTGTATTCATTATGTGATCCAAGTAGTTAAATGATATTGTTAAGTCAATGTATCAGGACTGATAATTCAAAAACCTTGTAGTAAACCACCATGGTAAAATTACTGAACTAAAACAAATAGCATATATGGCAATCTGACTAAAGCCAGACCTCTGTTTACGCTATCGCAACATGTAAAAAAAATCTGGCATAAGATTGCTACAAAGCCAGGAAGGGACACGTAAATTTTTCAAAAAAGTAAATAGATGATATCGAATCGAATTAGACAATCCAATCCCACGGATTACTAAATTGTTCCCTCGATTTATAATATGAGATCTCGAATTACACAATCCGATCTTAAGGATTACTAATTCGCCCCCTTGATTCATAATTTGAGATCTCGAATTACATACCGGTAATTTGTTTTCACAGATTGATAATTCAACATCTTGATTTGTTACAACATCAGTCTTATGATTTTGGAAATCTGTGCTCTTGAATTTCATTACATATATGTACAGAAACATCCAACCATTTTAATCAATAAGTGCGTTCTATTTATTTTGTTTCAGCAACCGGTCGTTTCTAACCTCTTTCAAAACTAATTCAACGTATATTTATTTTAGAAATATTATGATTAAACAGGACCCATATTCACTTTTACTATCTAGGACTTTCAATTATTCTTATATACAAGTAACACAAAAACTTCTAAGATTTTTTGTTGTACAAATATCAGTACTAGCACATGGATTTGAAAATGTTCATGTATTTTTCTCATTTTGAACCGTAATATGTAATAAAAGTTAGGATGTAAAATACTTCAATATTCTATTTTTAAAACATGTATTACCATATCCGATATGTACAGATAAATAATTTAAACGAAATCATGGGAAGGGTTTACATTCCGAGGGAATGAATCTTTTAAACTAAAAGAATGAATTATACAATCTGAGGTAACGGACTGTGTAATTTGAGGGAACGAATTGGTAATCTGTGAGAATGAATTGGCAATTTGTCAAACAGATTGTCAATCCGAGAGAAGGGATTGTATAAATCAAGAACTTGGTTTACTTTTATAAATTTTAAAAATTCTATGTCCCTTCATGGCTTTCATAGATTTCATACCTGCATGGCTGCCAGGGTTGTAAAAAGAAAGGAGACAATAGACTGCAATGTCACTTCAGGGCAAAATTCCTGGCGCAAGGCTGTTCGTGAGCATGGGAGTGTTGATAAACCATCCAGTGAGTTTGACCACCCATGTATATGATGTAGGATAATTGAAAAGTGTCTGAAAAATTGAGAAAATGGAAATTCTAACCACATACTTCATGCAGATTGGAACTTACAACAGCAGTCTATAAAAACAGTTTGTTCCATATCTCAGCATTCATTCAGATAGATATTACATGTTTAAATAATGTGTTTGTATGAATAATCAAGCATCATAAGTATTATGTGTTTTGAACACTTATTTTTCAAAATATTAATCAAATGTGTATAAACTTGTATGAATGCGATATCATGAGAATGACACAAATGAAATTAGACTTTATTTTTTTAAATTTTAGAAATACAGAAATTTTCAATACCAAAACAAAAATTTACCTGTTCATTGGTGTCCTTACATATTAATTAACCTTCGTAGTTCATGGTGGGCTTAGAAAGTGGGTATTCACAGATGAAAGTATTGTTGTAATGCTGAAAGCACCCTAAAATTTCGATGTGAAAGTGGTAGTCATGTACACCTGTACACACTGGTACATAGATACTGCAAACAACTATCCATTATTATGAAAACTTTGATTTTACTTTGAACTTACGAGTGATTGTTAAATTGAGCATCAAAGTTCAAAAGCAATGCAAAATTGGCTGAACGATACGAAACACGCACACTGAAAAATAAAGATCTAGTACATGTGTACATTTAGTTTTCTTTTGAACGTGAACTATTGCGTTTTAAACTTAAACTTTTCAGTCAATATACACGTATTCTCACCTGCTAATACCAAAGGCATGTCGTATTATTTGATTCATTGATGTGATGATCTTCGTCGTGAAATAATCATGAAAATTGACGTTCAGATTTCGGATCACCATCATGTTTACACCAAAGCGGAAACACGTGTTTATTTCAATTCGTATCAACTCATACAGTGATGAGTCGTATTTATTTATAAATGCGAGTTTTTGTATTGTAAAATATAAATCTAATTAAATTGCAAATTAATAAGTATACAGTATAACAAGATACAACAATATTAAAAATCTGATTGATTTTTTTTTAGTAAAGATCGCCGTTTTGGAAATCTACAATTTTCATCAATATTGTATATCACTTCATGAAATATACATCATTACAATCAACATTCACTTCACAAAAGACAGAACGAAAGTATATATTTGTTTTTTGAAATCTATTTTTTTTTTTTGAAATCTATTTTTTTTTGTATTATGCATTTATTTCAGTAAAAAATATATTCGAATGGTCAAAAAAGTCTTATAAAAGAATATGTTGTTTCGAGTAAGACGCAACAATATCGACCTTGACGTTACATGTAAATATTGACCGATTTTTCCATAAAAACTATGCAAAGGTCACAAATTCAAATTATCGTAATTAAGAAAATACTGAGCGGAAGAAGGCCTATAAGGGCTTGTTGGAAAGGAAATTTTCTCTACTTTTACCAGCTTTATTTTGTTTTCCCTATTTCAACACAGAAATAAACGTAAAACTGAGCTTTGTTTAAATATTACGAATAAAATCGATAAAAAACACATAAGTGCAAGAAAATTCTTGTTTTTAAAATATACCTTAAAGTAATAACAATAATTTTTACATATTTTAAAAGTAGAGAAAATATTCTTTAAGAATATACCATGCTTTCTTATAAAGTTAATCAGGAAAAAAATTGTCAATCGTCTGGAAATTCGGCAATCGCTTTGGAAAATTACGCCATTTTCAAAAAGTCTCGTTTGTCTTTACAACGTAAAATCGATTAAATACCGGCAATCAAGATATAATCTTTTTAGATATTTTAAAAGTAGAGAAAATTTCCAAAAAGATGATATATAGCTTATATACCTTCATGCTACCACAAAATAGATACGGAGATCTTATTTTCGCGAAGTCCTGTTTTAACGCGCCACCGGTCAATTTGACCGGTACGGAAGTGAAGGGGTTAAAACATTTCCTAATACAAAACAAGCTTTTGTCAAACGAATTGATGAATGAAGGATACGTGGGACTTTCAATAAATAATATCATCTGTCCTCGGAAAGCAACAAAACAAAAACGTTTCAGTGATTAAGTCTTGGTGATTTCACTTAAATATTCTCTTTTAATTAAAAAAATATGTCTCTAACAATTTTATTCAACTTTTTAATTGCTTTTAGAACATATTTCTGAATATGACCATTCGTATGCTAGTCCTATGATTTCCTGTACCTAATTTTTCTTTCGAAAAGGTGTTATTTCAAGTTAAGGAAATAAAACAAGTCAAAGGTTGAAAGATCTGGTGAATATTGTTGGTGCGACAAAACACTACGTTTCTGTTAAACCCTAAAACTCCTTTACTCTACCAGGCTTGTGGATTGGACGCTGTCCTGAAGAAATTTAATGTAGCGGATTCCTTATTCCGGTTCTTCCTCTCATAAACTTTTCAATTTTCTTCTTATTAATTTTAATTTGTTTTGAGGTTTGAACGCAATGGATTCAAGTTTCATTATCTGTTTGAATTTCAGACAAACGTTGATAACTCTTATTTTTTATTTTTTAAAATAATTGTTCAGATATTCTTGCACACTGTCATTTTTACTCATTCTAAAAAACGCAGGGTGACCTTGAAATATTAAACTTTTTTGTTGTTAAATGTTTTTTAAAACAATTTCAACTAACCCCAAATTAATGCCTGTCAGATTAGCTTTGTGACTTATCGGTAGTTTCGTTTAAAAACATCATTTCGTAAGTTCTATGGTTGATACAATGACCTTGTCAGCAAATACAATTTATCATTGAGTCAAATGCTGACTGACTTTTTTCATTCCAATTGTTAGTCCATTATTCATACACTGAACTGACGATGGATTTTTTCCCGTTATTTCCTGATTAAGACAATGAGCACACGGCGGGTGTGACCGGTCGGCAGGGGTTGTTCACTCCTCCATGGCACCTGATCCCACCTATGATATTTCCCGATCATGACAAGGAGCATACGGCGGGTGTGACCGGTTGGCAGGGCATGCTCATGGTTCCGTGATCCCACCTGATGTTTCGGAGGTGTGTGTTTGCTCTGCTCTTATTTTGTATTGTTTTATGGACTTTGAGATTGAATACTGTTCGTTATTTCCATATCCTTCTTAGACTTATCAATTTCGCTGTATGAATTAACGAAAATTATCTGATTTGTATTGAACATCTGAAATAAATTCCTTCAAAGTGTGCTTTATCTTCTTTCAAATTTAGGACCACTGGACACATAATTACTAATGAGGTAACAGATATGAAAACGAGGACCTTAAAAGGTCTTATTTACATGGAGTCCCGATTTCTTAATATCAAGAACATACTCTACGTATGAACAATTTCAAAAAAACGAGATAGATTATTGAGAAGCAAGTTGATGAAACGAAAAAAAATCAACAGTCTCGGTTAAAGTAACCATTTCGTAAGTTTTATGAACGATACAACGACCTTGTCAGCAAATACAATTTACAACTAAGTCAAATGCTGACTGACGTTTTTCATACTAATTGTTAGTCGATTATTTCTTCATTGAATTGACGACGGATTTTTTCCGTTATTTCCCGATCATGACAAGAGCACACGGTGGGTGTGACCGGTCTGCCGGGGATGTTCACTCCTCCATGGCACCTGATCCCACCCCCCATGTTTCGGAGGTCCGAGGTCCGTGTCCGCTCTGCTCCTATTTTGTATTCTTTTATGGACTTTGATATTGAATACTGTTCGTTATCTCCATATGCTTCTTGGCAACAAAACGTAATTTTGAGTATGAATTCTGTCAAAGGTTTTGTCAAACATTAGGTTAAGTTAAAAAAAACACGTGTCAGAATGGATTAAGTATTTTAGCAAGAACAATAAAAAGCGAAATGTAATACATCTATCCTTTCTTTTTCACAAAATCAGAAGTGACGAAAGAGTACAATTACATGAACAGTGTGTTTTGGTTCCATAAGACAAAGCTGTCAACAATATCGTCATTGTGTTTTTTTGTAAGGCTCATTATTATAAGTACTAGTATATTCTCAAAGAATTTGGTTATAATTCTATGTCAAATATCCAACATATACAAGTTCACTTTCCAGGGAATATTTATTTAAAAATCATATTTCAGTGTTAAATACTTTTAATATTCACCTGTACCAGCAAACCAAAATAAGTTTGCTTAAACCTACCTGTCAAAATTTTTAATTTTAAAAATGCATTTCTGAATCAAGTAAATGCTCTTATACGTCCTAGCTTTATTTCTTACAAAAACATTATCTTCTGTAAAGAGAACCTACAAATGCATTATGCTACAACATATTCTAGAATTCGTGAAAATCAGACGTGAACCCTGACTACTCTAAATAACTTTAAAAACGTTACAATCACATTTTTAAAATCTGTCATTTTTGTTGATAGTTGGATGATTTACTGACTATAGACAATCAAGGCTAACTAGCAACAAAATTGTATGACAAACGAGATGTTTAAACTTAATTAAACGAGCTATAAAAGTATATTTACTAGTAAGCAATAAAGAAGAGAAAATGTACTCACGGTCAGTAGAACAGCATGCACGAAGAGCATCGACATTCCAAAGAAATAAAAAAATTTCCTGCTGTAAAAAATGATTGCTTAATTCAAAATTTGATCTTTGATTTTGACCAAGTTGTTCTTGAGAAGATTATCTTTCAAAGATTTTTCCTATGCATTCTTAAGTAAACATTTGTAACCCGATCTCACTAATTGGGAGTCATGATTTAAACTAATTCATGTATTTTGTTTCCATTCTCTAGCAAAGTTTTCATATATAATCAATTACCAATACATTTACACTAACGAAATATCAATGTCTTTGAACAAATCTGAACCCACTCATAAAGATAATTATGCTTAACGCGTACAATACTAATTTCAATTCATATATCGATACAAATATTCCAATTACCTTGAACTAAAAGATACTACAGAGTCTGATCAATCTGTTTTATATTCTCATTCATGAACGTAGCAATACACACTTGTCACGCCCCGTGTGGATCCGGGTTAGAATAGGTCCTCAGTACCCCCTTGCTTGTCTTAAAAGGCGACTAAATGGGGCGGTCCTTCGGATTAGACCGTATAAACCGAGGCCCCGTGTCACAGCAGGTGTGGCACGATAAAGATCCCTCCCTGCTCAAAGGCCGTAAGTGCCAAGCATAGGCCTAAATTTGCAGCCCTTCACCGGCAATGGTGACGTCTCCATATCAGTGAAATATTCTGGAGATGGACGTTAAACAGTATACAATCAATCACACTTGTCACCTCCACAGGGTGTTTCTTTCTTTTGATGATTCGATCGATATTCCAGTGCATGATTTAACGTACGAACAATTTCTAAATCGAGGTAAGTTGATAAAAAAGGATATCAATAGTATCATTCAATGTTATCATTTTAGAAGTTCTATGATCGATATAATGACCTTAAGTATCAGCAATTACAACGATTTTGATCCA